CGGACCTAACCTGCAATCAATCAATCAATAAATAAATCAATTAATCAATAAATAACATGAAATAATTAATAAAGGAAAAATCAATAAAAGTGAAAAATTTAAAATACCTTTAAAAAAATTATTTAGACTAAATTTAGTTAAAGATTAATTGTATTTTTTATAAGTAATATAAGTAATTATAAGTAATTTATTTTTTTATTTATTTTCTTATTACATTTATTTATTTCTTTTTATTTATTTATTACTTTACTTACTTATTTTTCATTTTTGTAGGTTTGGTCCATGCAAGGAAGTAATATATTTTGCTAAATAAAAATGAATACAGTTTGTATTAAATGTTTAAGTGGAAACCATTTTTTACCCGACATGACCCGTCTAAATCTCATATTTAAGCATTTCCTAATGTTTCCTCAAGATTTTACAGCAATCACACAAAAGGCCTGAAACCGCAGAATGAAGCGTTCACATTAAACTCATTTGTTATTATTGAACCGCTGAAATGAGTTTGTTTTTCACTGTGGCATGAAATGATAATAATGATAAAATGAGCGAGCGAGCCACACGTTTATCAACTCTCTGTGTTCCTGCCAAAACACGGCTCTTTTTTATACTGAGCCAGAGCGGCTACAAACGATTATGATTAAGACAAATGCTAAAGTCCTTAATGAACAGAATTTATGTCATTAGTCCAACAAATGTGGCTTTAACATCACTGCGGTGACCTTTGTTTCTGTCTCTATCTTCACTCAGATGTTTTGTCTCAGTGAGTTTCTCACAGATGGAGAAGCACCAATGCTGGTTTCTTTACGAACATACAGAAGATGCTCATCAATCCTGAAAAATGACCTTGAAAACACGACGCCAGAATGAAGCGGCGTATCCCAAGATATGCTCATCACCTGTCAGGGCAATTCTTTCTATCCAGCAGCTGTATTTGACGGCAAAATAAAATATTTTGGCCAAATAAAATTAAGCCTGTTTAGGACCTTTAATATTTTTTTGCATTGTGACATTATTTTCAGGACAATTAAGCAATTAAGCATGATTTTCTCACATATTCTCATTAGTTTGATGCATCCAGACATTTTCATTTTTCATTATTCTAAAAGGCCATTTTCATTAGGGTCTCAGTACTGTAATAAAATGACTTTTTAATTAAATTCATTATAAAACAGCATTAAAAAAACTAATATTGGAATATTGGCAAATATTACTATTCTGATAAATTATTTAGAATATTAATCATTCTTATTTTTTTAATAATCCATAATGGTGATGAATATGCTTTAACTAAAACATTGGCAATATGAATGCATGAATGAATGAAGGAAATATATATATACACACACACATACACATACATTAGTATAGTATATAGTGTAGTTACTGTAAAAAAATATATATATCCACATATATA